GACCAAAGTACACTACTGAGGGGAGCAGTGGGCGAGTCAGGAGAGGTCTACTACACTATGTGGGTTGCTCCCTGGCTAGCCAGGAATCAAACTCCATGCTGCAGTGGCTGTGGATTGCTTCATAGGTTACGTCTTAACACTTGTGCCACCAGGGAGGCCCCTATTTTTTTTTAATTTATTTATTTGTGCATACAAGAACTGGGGTGTAAGCCAGAGGTGCAGGGGGTGAAAGGATTCACCAGAGAGAGAGAGTAGGGAGCAGAACAGGAAGATCTACTGAAATACACTGCTGAGGGGATCATTGGGTAAGGCAGGAGAGGTCTGCTGAGCCATGTGGTGGGACTAAAGCAGAGAATAACATGCCATTCTCCGGGGTAATGTTTACAATAGTTCATTCTATTTCTACATTTCTAGGCTTCCTATTCAAGGTTTTTTATACCCTAGCCCCAGTCTACATTTCCAGAAAATGTTATCAATATATTCTTTGCACCTCAAATTCAAGTTATGCTTTAAAAGTTTTACACATAATTCTGAAATTATCATTTTGCATCCGATAGTGCATAGAAGAGTGTCTGTCTTGGCATAAGCATCAATAAAAGCTTTTGAAGAAAACTGTCTATGATTATGTCCAGTCATTGCTAACAATTGAATACCAATTCTTATTTTAACATTTAACACATTGAACCAGAATAGAAAATACATAATGCTATAGTAAATTTTAGTCAGTGACCTCAAATCTCTTTGCAACTTCATTTCATTGACATATAATAAGTAAACATTCTATAAATCAGGAGACCTAAAAGAATTTGGTAAGTATTTCTAAGTCCAAGGTTTAAACTGTGAATTAATGACTAGAAATCTGAAGGAAGTGGCTTCCTAAATTGTAAATGCCACATTTCTTGTTTTTTCCAGCTTCATCTGCCTATGGTTGAGCAGCACAATTAATAGCTACTATTTTTGTAAAGTACATGAAAAGTAATATTTTGTCTAGCTCTGTGGGTGGCATTAAGCTAGCAAAACACTCTACTTGGCATTATTCTGACACCAGTCAATGAAGCTATCAGGCAAATGAAACTGCTTTTATGAGAAGCAGCACAGTAATTGAAAATTGTCATCCTTTTTTTTCCCCCCAGGAAAACCTGAAACTTTCATTTCAACATTTTTTTATATCACCAGGAAGAAATGAATATTTATAAAACAAGAAAAAAGGACATGATCAGGGTGTCATATTTCTCAGCGAATTATATGCAATGAATAAAGATAGTAAGACAATAATTCAAATTTAAATCCAAGTTGCTAAAGTAGCATTCATTGTATACGCATATATTCAGTTCTAGAGGCCAAGTGTGTGTATGCTGTGATGTCAGAATCAACACACCCTGACATATGTGAGTGTGGGAGGGTAAGGATGTCACTACAGTGAACAGATAGTGTTCTCTTTACATTAGAATCCAGTCATTAACCTGTTAGGAATGATGACTGAATGATCCAGGTCTGAGGTCTAGACCAATGGGCTAGAATCATCAGTTGGTTGAGGATAACCCTAGACTACAAAACAGGATCAACTTTATCCGCAAAGTGTCGAACGCAGAGCTCTAGATCAAGGTGATAAACTTTGCATACAAGTTTAATTTGTATCCCCGGTCGGCCATGGAGCTAACCCACATGGTGCAGCAGACCTCTCCTCTCTCACCCACTGCTCCCCTTAACAGTGTATTACAGTCAATCCACCTATTCTTCTCCCCACTCTGTCTCTGGTAAATCCTCTCACCTCCACGCACCTCTGGCCTGTACCAGAGTTCTTGCATGTATAAATAAACAAATCTAAAAAAAACCCAAAACATTAAAAAAAAAGAGAGAGAGAAAGTATCACTGGAAGACCAAAAATTTAACCTGAAGTGATTTCCAAATCTTCTGCACTCTGCCAATTTGCCAGTTTCATGGTTCCACCTAATTGCATATGGTCTAAAGCAGGTAAAGGAACACAAGCAATCTTTGATAAACTCTGCTGTTTCTACCATGGTGTTGTCAACCCAGGAAAAATAATGAAACTGTAGTACAATCAGTAGAAAATCATGTGTTCTGGAGTAGGAATCGTGATTTGGGCACAGGAGCAAGGTGCAGGTCTCGGGTGTACACCGCCAGGAACTGGGCATCAGGGAATTTTAAAGGATCAGGGAGGAAGATGGTCTGAAGTTAAGTAATTTGCTATGAAATTTTGGACTGGTTCCTGTGGTTATACATCTGTCCATGATTGGTGGGCAAGAAGTCTTCTGACACAAGGTTGAAGTGTGGGTGTCTGCTTTCAAATCAGCAGATGTCTCTGTTCCTCACAGTCACTGAATTGCTGAGTCAGCCTGTTTAATTTTCACTTAGACAAGTGTTAGCATGGCAGTTTAGAGAAAAGACTGCCCATGTGACGCAAAGCAAGTTCACAGTGTGTTGAAATATACTATGACCAGAATATGACAGAACAACTAAGAGAGCAGATTCTGGAGTGAGAATGACTGATCCAAATCCTGCCATCATCACAACTTATACCATCACCTCAATGCCTGCCTCACATACAAAAGAGGAATAAGATACCTATCTCATGATATTAGGTGAAAATGAGTCAATATAAATAAGTGGTTATGATAGGGTCCATCATTTAATAAGTACTCAGTAGCATAAATATGACACTTTTTGTATATGTGGCATTTTAGACTTTCTGTATTGTCCTGTCATGTTGTTCTTTTCATAATGATTTATGAGTATTATATTCTTATATAGATGAACAAAACAGAAATTTTAAATAAATCCCTTATTTATCAGTTGACTGGGGTAGAGGAATGCCAGATAAGTGTTGATTTCAATAAAAGATCAAGGAGTCTCTTGAGAAATTTTACATAACAGTACAGAAAGCCAGGCATGATGAATCTGATACCATAACTAAGACTGACACAAGGATTCTGAATATAGCACAATAATTGTCATCAGCTTTGCCTCTCATTAATCTCCCCCATATTCATGTACTGACTTTGCATAGGGGGAATTTTTACTTGAATATTAAAACACTAATTTTCTCAACATTCAATGTTGGATGTTGTACAATGTTAATGCCTATTTCCTAATATAATACACACAAAGTAGGGCATCAGTTCACAAAACAACATACCCCAGCCTTGATCCCCTCAGAGCTCCCTATCTCCAGAGAAGGCATTGCCTGCACACACACACATACACACACTCACACACACACACTCACACACTGAGTAAAAAATAAAGTACCATATAAAAACAAAGTATTTTGAATTTTATGGAATGCATTCTTAAATTTTAGTTACTCTTAAGACTTCGTTTAAGAGTCTCAGTCCATTAAGAAATTTTCCAATCAGGGCCTTCCCAGTGGTGCTTGGCTAAAGTTTCAGCACTACTAAGCTATAGCCAGCCACGGCTGCATGAGTGGCTGCACGAGTTCCATGCCTGGCCAGGGAGCTGACCCACATGGTGCAGCAGACCTCTCCTATCTCACCTGCTGCTCCCCTCAGCAGTGTATTTCAGTAGATCTGTCTGTTCTGTTCCCTACTCTGTCTCTGGTGAATCCTCTCACCCCGTGCCCCTCTGGCCTGTTCCCCAGATCTTGTATGCATAAATAAATAAAAATACATCTTTAAAAAAAAAAGAAAGAAAATTCCCAATCACTTATATAGGAATACCAACAAATAAAGCCCAACTTGGACTTTCACTGTGAATTTAGGGGACATTATCTATATTCCATATCTATATTCCACCTGTCTAGATCCCCTCAGTTAAATAGCAGTAACAATATTCTCTGCTTCTCTTATTCTGACTGATTATCTTTGAGATTATGTTTCACCTTTGTTGGCAGCAAACCCAACATTCCAGTATCACCAGGTTGTTCATTTCACTTTGCTAATGGACTGTCACTGCTGGGAAGACTTTGCAACTTTGAATACGAATGTAACATCTGGTTTAGTTTTAATAACATTTCCTGCTGCCATACTAATCTGATTATTTTTGTACTTAAAAAAGTTTCAGATTGTCGTTCTAATGAAAGTTGATTTCCACATTCAATGTCCTAAAAGCCATAGCTTTTCCTATTTTTTCCCTCCTATTTTTAAAGTTGGAAAGAAGCATGAACATATGTTGTGAGCATATCCTATATTATTTTCATATTGTCATAGCTTTAACTAACCTGTAACTTGCCATATTCTTCATTTATCAGGTATGAGGACTCTATGCAATAAGTAAAATATCTCTTTTTCTGTCCATCCAATGTTACATTTTAGACAATTCTGTGACATGTTATGACATTTGATTTATTTCTCATCAAGAAACTTATAATCATAGCGGAAAACATTTTGATCACTCATGAATGCTAAAAGTTTTCAACAGACAGGAATGAAAACACACACCTTGTGATATATACTGGAAAAGGGATGACTGTCAAGCTGGTATCTACATATGCAGTTCATTGGGCACATAATTCCATAGACAGATAATGAGGCCAGAATCCATTAAATATTCTTCACAACAGCAATATGTTTAAGGTGGTGAGGTTATAGTTAAAATAACATTTTTCAAAAACCTTTTTTGTGTGAAAATAACATTTTCAAAGAACTATAGGCTAGATTATGTGAACTCAAATATGTGTTAACTGAAAATTAAGTCTCAGTGATAGTTAGACAGAGTTTATTATTAGATAACCGAAGTTGAGATTCAAACCTGGGAAGCAGTTGATAGATTTAACTCTGTCAGAGTTGTTCTAACATACACAAGTTTGAATTTAGTTTACTTCGGTAGGAATAGCGAGTCATTTGTTACTGGATACAGGGTCGAAAAACTGTCACCATATAGATCCAGCCACCGGCTGCCACAAATGCAAACAAAAGGGCCATTGCAATAACAAAAAACAAGAAAAAGGAAACAACTTATTCTAAATGACAAGGTAGAGAGAGTGGGAGAACTAGCAAGGCAGAGGGAGAAAGTCCAGTTACCTGTTGAGGGTGCCAGGTAGATATGCAGATACAGGAGCCTGCAGAGTGCTTCAGAGGCCTGCAGCTGCTGAGGTGGCCTCCTGCCCTGTGTGGGACTGCCATACACAGCAGCTCTGATGAGAAAGAAAACAGTTCTTGGGCCTCCCTGTGGTGCGCCATGAGTTAAGCGTCAGCACTATGGAACAATCCGCAGCTACCACAGCAAGAGTTCGATCCCCAGCCAGGGTGGTCACCATGGTGTAGCAGACCTCTCCTGTCTTACCTACTGCTCCCCTCAACAGTGTATTTGAGTAGATCTGCCTGTTCTGCTCCCCCACTCTGCCTCTGGTGAATCCTCTCACCCCCACCCCCGCTCCTCTGGCCTACACCCTCAGCTCTTCTAAGCATAAATAATCTTAAAAAAAAAAAAAAAAAAGAAAGATGGGCCTCCCCGGTGGCGCAGCGGTTGAGTGCTGGCCTGCGAAGCTGCCTGCAGCCTCTGCAGTGCCGGTTCGAAGGCCACCAGCAAGGGTCCCACATGGTGCGCAGACCTCTCCTGCCGCCCGCTGCTCCCTTCAGCAGTGTACTTCAGTCCTTCTGCCTGCTCTGCTCCCCGCTCTGGCTCTGGTGAATTCTCTCACCCTCCCGCGCTTCTGACTGTACCCAGTGCTTGTATAAATAAATAAATCTTAGGGAAAAAAAAAAAAGAGGAAAGAATCTCACATATTTCTGTCAAAAAAAAAAAAAGAAAGAAAGAAAACAGTTATTGTGCATCACTCCTTTTTAAAAACTCCTAAAATGGCTGCTCAGCTCTGCCCTCCTCCCAGCAGCCCCCCTGGCTCAGGACATCGGGGGCAAAGTTCAGACCACTGCACTGAGCAGAGGTCTCCCCTCCTGCTCAGGTAGTGCAGGCACTTGAGGAGGTGAAGTTTGGCCTTCCATTGTACCCCTGCTCTAAGGGCCTAAGGGGTGCAAGCTTAGCTGCAACAATGGACATTAAGAATACAATTATTCCTGATAGGAGGGGTTTCTAGTTGTAGGGTAAGTAAAAAGTATCAGGCTTTTCCACCCTCCTGCCATTAGATTAAATGCATGCCTGATGGTGGACACCTGGAGCAGGGTGTGGGCATGCATAGGTGGATACACCTGGGCTAAGACTGGGCATATAAGGGCAGCATCACAGGGACGCCAGCAGAGCGAAAGAGAACGGGAAGGAAGAACAAGCGAAACAACAGAGCAAAAGGAGCAGAGAAGCAAAGCCATAAGAGAAGGCTGGAGAGCCCAGGAAGAGTGAAGACTTGCTGGGGCCTGGGAGGCCTGCCAGCCTCCCGGCACCACCCCACCCCCGACACCCCCCTCCTCAGCCCCGGCACCCCTGCCTGCTGTGTACCTGGTAAACTCAAAAGCCTGAAAAAGCCACTGAGGGTTCCAGGACTCCTCCTTACCCCCGTCTGCTCTGGTCATAGAGCTCCTGCCCCTGTGCCTATCCTGCCGCTACACTAGTTCTAAGTTGTTTTCCTTACCGAAATCTACACTGATGCTTGAGAGAAGCAGTGCAGGATTTAATTTTTTCCTTGCTAATGAATGCACTGAATAGATACAAGGCTGAGTACCCATTAAGTGTTCTGTTGTTTTGTTTTTTAATTTCAAAGACTGACTTTGCCTTCAGGCAGCAAATTCCTGCTTACAGAATGGAGCCTAGGACAATGGCTTTATTCTCTTACCTGCTAGACCAGGGGTGGAGTCCCCAGAAAACTTTACAATAATATGTTTACAGATGTTTAAGCACAAAACTTCTTTTCCTCTAGGAGTTGTATTTAATTGGAAAAAATTAAAATATTTATTAAAAAATTTTGGGCCTCCCTCATGGTGCAAGGGGTTAAGCACAGCACTGTGAAGCTATCTGCATCCCTTGTAGCATGAGTTCAATCCCCAGCCAGGGAAGTACCCACATGGCGCAGCAGACCACTCCTGTTTCTCCTGCTGCTCCCCTCTGCAGTGTATTTCAATCTGCCTGTTCTATTCCCCACTCTGTCTCTAGTGAATCCTCTTATCCCCTGTACCTTTGGCCTGTACATGAGTTCTTGTATGCATAAATAAATCTTCAAAAAAAAAAAAAAATTTAAAGTGAAGTCGAGTTATTGTTAAATGGAATAAAATTTTTAATGATAGTTAAGCAAAGAGTTTATTAGATAATCAAAATAAGGCCTAGAATGTAGGGTGACAGATTCATTTTTTTAAAGATTTATTTATTTATTTATACAAGCACTGGGTACAGTCAGAAGCGCAGGAGTGTGAGAGAATTCACTAGAGCCAGAGGGGAGAGCAGAGCAGGTAGACTGACGAAGTACACTGCTGAGGGGAGCAGTGGGCGGCAGGAGAGGTCTGCGTGCTATGTCGGACCCTCACCTGGTGGCCTGGGATCGAACTGGCGCTGCAGAGGCTGCAGCCTCACAACCCAGCGCTCAACCGCTGCGCCACCGGGGAAGCCTGTAGTATGACAGATTTTATTCTGCCAGAATTATTTCACCAAATACAAATCTAAATCTAGTTTACAGAGCCAGAAATAGTGAGGTATCTGATGAAGGTACCTACTTTTGATAAGAGGGTTTTCAATTTCCAAATTGTCCTGATCTGAAGACACACTAATGCTAGAAGAAAGCAAGGTAGGATCCAATCTAATCCCTGCTGAAGGGATGAAAAGTTACTAACACTTTTTCTATTTGCAAAGACTGAAAAATAGATTTTTGCATAAAAGATGGAGTCTGTGAAGATGGCATGTACCTGCCAGACCAGGGCAGTGTCATCAGAAAATCTTACATCAGGTTCACATGACAAAACAACAATGAAAGTTTATGGCAGCCTCCCCGGTGGCGCAGCGTTTGAGCGCTGGGTTGTGAAGCTGTCCGCAGCCTCTGCAGCACCAGTTCGATCCCCAGCCGCGGGGCAAGGGTCCCACATGGCACGCGGACCTCTCCTGTAGCCCACTGCTCCCCTCAGCAGTGTACCTCGTTAGTCTGCCTGCTCTGCTCTCCCCTCTGGCTCTGGTGAATTCTCTCACCCTCCCGCACTTCTGACTGTACCCAGTGCTTGTATAAATAAATAAATATATCTTTAAAAAAAAAAAAAGTTTATGGCAAGGTAGACTTTCTCAAAAGGCATTTCTGTAATTTTCTACCCATGAGCTTAATATAGTAACTCCAAATCTCTGAAGGAAAGTAGCCAAACATGGAATATGACTTGGTAGAAATAGAAAATCAGGGATTCAATTAACTTTTATTATCTATCTATAGATGATGATGATGATGATGATGATGATGTGTGGGTGTGTGTGTACATACACATACATTAAGAAGCTCTCTTGGTAATCTTAATTTCTCTCCTTTGTCAAAGAAATGCACATGATTCAAAACCTTTTTAAAAGTCTATTTTTGATTTTCAAACCTGTCTTGAATTCTGGGGATATTTATTAGAATGTATTTGTCTTAATTTCTTCAAATATGTTACATATAAACTTTAAAAACTGTGTCAGAAATTGCAAAAAAACTTCTTTGAAATGAAAATGTTTTGTGTACTTAATATTTTATACTCCTATGCAAATTGGCTACATTTCATTTTTTTCAGTGGTTTAGATGAACAGAAAAATTGAGAAGATAGTACAGAGAGACCTTTAGATACCCTTACCTGATTTCTTTTATCGTTAGCATTTGACATTAAATATAATTAATCAAACACAAATTAATGTCTTATAATAACATTAAATGTATGATTTACTTGATACAAGTAATAAACTGATACATTATTAATTTAAACCCCTATTTTATTCAGATTTTCTTAGTATTTATCTACTGTCCTTTTTCATTTCCCCATGCAACTATCATATTGCTTTTTTTTTTAAAGATTTATTTATTTAATTATTTATACAAGCACCAGATATAGTCAGAAGTGCAGGAGGGTGAGAAAATTCACCAGAGTGGGGAACAGAACAGGCAGACTGAGGAAACACACTGCTGAGGGGAGCAGCGGGCGCGGCAGAAGAGGTCTGTCGCGCCATGTGGGACCCTCGCAGGAGGTCAGGAATACAACTGGCACTGCAGAGGCTGTGGGTGGGCAGCCTTGCAACCCAGCGCTCAACTGCAGAGCCACCAGGGGAGGCCCTATCACATTACTTTCTTAGGCTCCTCTGGATTGTGACAGTTTCTCTGCTTTTCCATGTTTTTGGTGACACCTTGAAAATTTTGAGAAATACTGATGCGGTTTTTTATAGAATCTCCCTCTACTGGGAATTTTCTGAAGCTTTTCTCATGACTAGTTGGTTATAGTTTATTGTGAATAAGGGCACAGAGGTTGAGTGCCACTTTCTTCACATCATATCAGGAGAATATACTATCAATATGACATATTGATATTGATGTTAACCTTGAACAACTTACTTGAAATAATGTTTGTAAGATTTCTCCATGGTAAAGTAACTCCTCCCCACCAGCACTTTACAACACTGTACCCTGGAAAAATGTCACTACGCATAGCCACATGAAGGAATGGGGAGATACTCTGCATGCAGACAGTGCAGTACCTATGTGAATTATTTGGAATTTTATGTGCATCAAAGCTAATTCCAAATTTGTTTTTCCTACAAATATTTCTTCATTTCATTGTACCATAATACTGTTTTATATCATCAACACAGAAACCAATTGTCTATCTTCGATTCAGAAATACAGCCCTTCATTTTCAATACTATAAACAGTAATGTCAGACATTTCATAATTAACAGAATGAAATTCCAAACTGTCATTCCAAACTGTCATACTGAAAGAAAAATCAAACCACCAGAATCAACTAATTTTCTATTTGAGGCAACTATTGACAATGCTGTAAAACCGACACCTTTATTGCCAAGTTCCCATTTTGCTAAGAGAAACTATTCCTAGGAACAACCCCTGTTTGTTGGCATCTTACTAATAACGCCCCCTCAGGAGATCACCTTTATACTCTTTAATCAAAGCAGCACTGGTGATAATCTGTTTAAGTAGTGGTCTGTTAACCCTTGGGTGCTTGTTGAGAGAGGGAGGGAATACCCAGTCTATTAATCTGCCCAGTTCTTCCCTAGTAATGAAAGAGGGCATCCCT